ATAATTTCCAATTATATATATATATATATATATATATATATATATATATATATATATATATATATATGTGTGGGCTTTCCCCATTTTGTGTTGCACGTGTGTGTGTTTGTATTTTACTTAATAAAAAAAACGGCTTAAAAGAGAAATTTGGGGAAATGAGGCTTTCCCCATTTAGTCATAATTGTTAACATATTGGCCTCATTTATTTTTGGGCTAAATGCAACACATAGTGAAGTACTTAAGTTAATTTGTTTTTTATAATATCCTGCTTTTATTTCATGTTGTTACATCATTGTCCTAATAAGAAGCAAAATGTAAAGTACCAAATTATAGCAATATCAAATACAAAGCAATTTTCACTAACGGCTACAACTGAGTAGATTTTTTCAAAGTATAATGTCCTAATAAGAAACAAAATTTAAAGTACAATTGGGTAAAGTTTTTTAAATAACAAAGTAATAATAAAGAAAAATAATGAAAATACAATGTTGTAATTGTAATAGAATGAAATGAAAGTAAGATGCTATAATAAAAAAATAAATGAAAATACATTTCTATTTCTTCCAATTACCCTTTTGTTCTTTCATTCCATTTTCTCATGTTTTCCATGACATTGTCATATATATCATTTAATCATCATTTATCCAGATATCACTTAATGGAGGAAAAAACAAAACATGGCTAACCTCATTACTTTCAACAATAGCGGTGAAGGGTACCCATTGCACTCCCATAATTTCAAATCCTTAAAAACTTTCATCATCGGTTGCAATTCAACACTCGAATTAGCAAGTGATAATATCAAATCATGTAAGCTACATACACACCACTCGAGAGCAATATAAACAAAATCTTGATCGTACTCCACACCATACAACCTCACAATATTAGGATGTTGATCAGATACAATAAGATTTTGTATCTCTTTCCGAGCAACATCATAATGTTCCATCACAATCCTTTTCACAGCAACCTCCCTGCCATCATAATAACCCTTCAATACAATTGTCCCATTACTCCCCCTCCCAATTTCTTTATTATAAAACAACTTGCCAATTCTACGTTCATGCAAGTTGACACGAAGGTTAGCTGGATTTTTTGGCATTTCATAAATACGCCGAGGATTGTGGTGCAATTGTGGAGCAATATGATGGTGGCCAGGGAGGAGAGTAGTGTCATGAACTGTTGATAAACAGAGGAAACATTTTTTAACAAGAGCATTCCAATCAAAATCAGCACCATCCACAAAATTACCAAATTCACAGATATCATGCAACACATACTCCACTCCATTCACCCATAAGATCTGGTTTGTAACCCTAATCTGGCATTCACCTTTCTTCTTCTCAAACACTGCTAAAGTTAATTGGAAAATAGTAGTTCCACTAATAGAACTTTCATCTTGTGATATGCATGGAGTTGCTTGTGCCTTGATCCCTAAATGATATACCTCTTGTATACCTACCTTATATACGGAAAGGTCTATCCCAGTTCTGGATTCCTGTATATATTTCTGGCCCAAACCTTGTTGGAAAACCACTGTGATTGGTGGAAGCAGCTCTTCTGTTGGATTCATGTTATAGTTTTCTCCCCATTTTTTAAAGAAATGAAGGGTAATTCTGCCACGAGAACAACGTAAAACCGCTTATCATACACATATGATCAGTCAGTTCATACAACATAAAACAAAGTACACATCTAAAGGATGCATAACTGGAAACATGTTGACATAAAGTTCAGACAAAAATGTTTGCAGTGGTCATGATTATATATGTAAGAATAAAGACCTTACCTGCCAGCAATAGAGGCATCATAAGTGAATTCAACAAGGTATCTTTTAGGGTCTTCTTGATCGGGCTTGATCTTCAAGGTTTCTTTCTTTATATTAATCTCGTTCTTTATAGACACACTCTGTTCATGCCCACAAGGATACCTACCACCGACCAACACCTGCTTTGCAGGGTCCATAGCCATGCGATGGTGGTCATAATATGGTGCAGGAAAGGGTGTTGCAAGCGGCGATGGTGGGTACCGGTAATATGGAGGATGAGTCGGAGGAATATAATGTTTAGTGTTAGGGTATTGAGCAGAGTTAGGTGGCGCCGCGGCAAATACGTATCTATTATCCATGACCTCCGGCGGCGGCGGTGTAATATGGTTTTGATTGTTTCCCCGCCTGCTCCCACCACCGCCGTACCTCAGCCGGCTCTTTGAGCTCTTACTTCCAGACTTGGCCATTATCAGACCGACATTAGAACTTTGATCAAGAAGAAATATAGGGTTGGAAACTGTACAATTTTAACAGACCTTGGTTTACAAAACAACGAAAGTTTAGAAGAATAATATGAACATCACTCTAAAACAACTTACAAGATAAGCAAAAATTAGCAACATCGAACTAACGATGATCTTGAATTAACAATGATGAATCCCCAATTTTGGAGTTTCTCTCTCATTCACTCACTCACTTTTACGGGAGTTGGCCATAAAGTTGCAGAGTTAATTGAGAGCTTTTTGCAAAAATAGGATTGTTTGCAAAAACTTTGTTAAAAGTAGTATTGTTTTAAAATTTAAAGTGATTTCTAAAGGTGGCGTTCTTTTGTATTTTGGTCCACCATAACTGAATTTATATGTTTCTAAATAGACTTTTAGTTTTCGTTTTTAACCATTTAACATTTATTTATTCATTTTCTTTTAAATTGAGTTTTGCATGTTAATAAGAATAAAATATAATACCATAAAAATTAAAATCTTATATAAAGCTAAGTTCAACTAAAAATATTATTTTAGTTTAAAATTTGGTATTTGTATTTCACATAAATTATTTTTACATTATTTTATATCAAATTTGATTTTAATTTATTTCATACTTTACACTAAATTTTTATTTACTAATATTTCTGTACTCCAACTTGGTTTACCTCAAATACATTAAAAAATTCATTAATTATTTTCAATAAATAATTTTTTTAAATAAATTGTTTGTTGCGGGAAATAGGGTTTATGTTGGAGATTGGGATACCCCTTGGATCGTGTGAACACTTTCCGAACAAATATTTCTATCCTATGTCTGGGTTGCAAGAAATTTAGCTTAGGATAATCCAAGAGGACACTTACGAATCTAGGCACAGAAAAAGTAAGTCAAATTGCTAGAAGGATTATGTGTTCGTTTGAAGAAAATGGGAGCTAATAATTTTCATGTGTATCTTCTCAAAGAGAAGAGTCGTTTATATAATAAACGAGATTAAGGTTTTTACTTAGGGTTGGTGTAACGTCCGCAGATTCGGGCTAGTCAATTTAGAGACAATAAGCATAAAAAATAACTTTTTTTTAATAGAAGATTATTTAGAATAAATAATCTTAACCAGGTTATAGTATATGTCACAAGGGTTCCGTACATATAAAGTATGCTGAAATCGGAGTTATATCAGAGAAGTTATGACATGTAAAAGTTTCGCGACAAAACCGACACGATGTTGTGTGACGTAAAAAGTGAGTTTGCGATAAAAATACTTTCTAGCCTTAACAATCTAAACTGAAGTCGTAGTATACGTTAAACCGAGAGCGTGTATAAAAAGAACGTCCAAATCTGACTTCATATGAGGAAGTTATGATTTATTTAAGATTTAGCATAGTAGTGCACAACCCGAAAATCGAATTTTAGATCGGTCGATTTTTAGCCGACACAACCTAAATGAGAATTGAAGATCTCATTAATATGAGCTCAACGATATAAAGATAGTCGAAAACGGACGTCGGATGACAAAGTTATGAATTTATAACGGATTTTAACTGTCTAAGCTTGTTAAAATATAACTTTAAAAATAAAGTCAAAATTAGCCGACAGAGTCTAAATCAAAGTTGTAGATCATGTTTCCTCCTACGTGTGGATATAAAGAACGTCAAAAAATGAGCTCCTATGCAAAAGTTACGGGTTTTAGAAGATAATTAGTTATTGGAGTAATCTGCGAGTGACACGTGGCATAATCCTGACCATTGCTTCCTCCCCACGCCTTGCCACCAGATGGTGACACTTGGCACTCAACTCGACGAGTTGGAGGCTCAGAACTCGCCGAGTTGGGTCATTTCCCAGCCTATAAATAGAGGCGCAAATCTTCCATTTCCTTCACACCATTCCCATTCTTTCTCTTTCAAACATCTCTCTAAACCCCTCCCAAGCATTAGTACTTGCCAAGTGCTAAGAAGCGAATCCCAGAGCGCCAGAAGGCTACGAGAAGAAGAGCTTTCGGCCCGAAAGTTTTGTTGGATTAGATGTCTAAGCCCATACCTATTATTGGTATGTACTCGACCCGAGAGTAGCATGGTCCATTTG